AAAAAAGAAAAAATTCCACTTAATCATTGGACCAAAGAAGAGCTTTTGACTTGAGCGAATAGGTGATTAACTTCATCAGAAATGCCAGAGACAACAAGCAGTAATATATTGGCCAAGATACTTATACTCTGGGCGGCCACATCATCATACACGATCAATTCTCACAAAAAACTCTAATATACAGAAAATAGTGAATAAATGGCCTATGTATTCTTAGCGTGTAAAAAATCTTTTCGGCAGTAAAAGTATTTTTAATCCATTTGCATCATGCTTAAGTACCTTGAACAAAGCAATGTCAGGAGCACTTTCATATCGATGAGAAGAACGAAGAGGTTCATCCTTCTTCAGATCACCTGTCAGCATCCATTCTGCTCCAATTGAAACAGAAGGAAGTCGTTCTTGCCCGTCTGTAGTAAACACTGAACATGGTCTTCCTGAATTCCAGTCATGGCCTCCGAAGCAACTATATCAGACTGCAATAATCGAGAGCTCTTTCTCTTCCTATGACTATCTTTCGGTGCGCCCTTATCTACGGAGTTACGAGGGGTCCAGGAATATGCTCTACGAGCCTCTTTATGCAAATGACTCAGGCTGCTACTAAACGATAACCGTGTTGGGGTGGTAGATTTTGTTCTCTGCTTTGGTCGTGGTGCAGAAACTGAAATTCTAGAATCCCTGACAGGATGACTCATGCTGATAGCAATAGCCTTTGCAGCATATGACAAAATCATGCTGTTGTCTTTCATTGAAGGAAACTCTTTAAGAATCTGCAACCAGTTAATATACCAAGTGTTCATGACTCAGTTGGCTATACAACAAAGCAGTTAACAGATGACTAAACCAATAACTCCAATCCTAACGGGTGGATGACTAAAGACTAATGAAATTATCGTATTGTCAACTTAAGCACTCTACCAAATCTAGAAATGCCCTTCAAGAAGTACCAAGCTAGTGCATTCTTCACAAAAATTCCATGCCTAATTCACTCCCTGGAAGTATAATCTCAACTTGAAATGAGACCTTCTAAAAAAAAAGAATAAATTACGTGACAGTTATATATGATTGTCTCTGCTTTGTCACACAAGTTGTGAATTGATAAATTAATTTGATAATTTTCAATATTTTGGCTAATGAAGGTGACACAGATTGCCTAATTAGAATACCAAAAATTCACAAGAATCTGATTGAGAAAAATGGATTGCGAAAATCACCTGCGAAACCATAGACAATGTCTCTAGAAATCTTCACGTGTGCATCAGTGGCATTACTTAACACCTCTATTTGTTTTTCCAGCAGCACGTTAATATCTTTTTCCCAGTTCATATCGTCAACAATTTTCAAACACAGCGAATCGTCTACGTCATTTATGGATTCCATCTTCTCCCTCCCCACCACCACCAAACTCCAATTCCCTCCGAATACCCGCAAATTCCCCAAAATGTCTTTCCCTTTCACGTCCCCCCGAAACCCTAGAAAACCCGCCCGCCCCACCCTGCCTCCGCCGTTCGCCACGCCGCAGTCCCTCTCCGATTGGCTCGCTCCGCGCCTGGCCGCCGATTCCTTCGGCTCGTGGGGCGTCAAGCCCGGCACCAAGAACGTCCACAACCTGTGGCTCGAGCTCGCCGAAGGCGAAACCGTCCTGTCCGATTCCCTCCCTCCGGTCAGGACAGTCGAGGTCGTCATCGTGCGAATAACCCGAGACGGCGGTCGAAAGTTACTCATAGAATCTCATCAGGAGCTATCGAATGGCATTGTCAGACACCGTTCCCGCCCTTTGTCCGAAAAGATGAAGCCCGGCGAATCGGTCGAGGCTGCCGTTTTTCGAGCCGTGAAAGAGGAATTGGGCTCTTTAGTAAAGTTTGAAACTTTGGACCTTTCTGATGGTGGGGTTGTGAAAATCATGCGGGAATCGTATGTGAAGAAGCTGGAGGAGAGGGTTTCGGCTTCATATCCTGGCTTGCCCGCTTGCTATGTGTTGCACACAGTGGAGGCTGAGGTGGCGGGCTTGCCGGAAAACGAGTTTTCTACAGAGGAGGAAGATGAGTATGAGGTCTCGGATGAAAGGAATATGGCAGATTGTGCGGTCTTGTGTAGGAAGCATTTTTGGAAGTGGGTTGATTCTGATTCTGTTTGAATATTTCTCACAAGTTTTGGATATTTTAATGATGGTGTTATTTGCTAAGGTAATTTGTGATGATTCTCTACATGTGTATGAATGAGAATTGAAGTTTTGGGTTTTATAGATATGATGACTGGTTTCAAGATGGTTGTGTTGGATAGTTGTATTTTGTTGTGTTAAGATAGAATACTTTGAGTTTGGTTTAAAGAAGCGCAATATTGTTAATGGAAATCTGAAATGGAAGATTGGTCTGTTTTGTGCAAGCATTGGTGATTGGAGTGTGAAAACTGAAAACTATTGTTTTTTTTGTTGCTGTTCGAATGAATATGATGAGCCTTTTTGCGCTAGGTGCTTGCCGAACTGATGTTCTTTTCTTCAAAGATAGGGCTTTTACAACCAAATATAATTTCTTGGGATATTTAATTCTAAGCACAAGATGAAGATAAGTTAAATTCCTGCTCCTGGGAATTGTATGTAAAATAATATATTTTTTAAAATATATAAAAATAAAATGATATATTTTTTATTTATATAAAAATAATATATTTTTAAAAATATATAAAAATAAAATAATATATTTTTAGATTATATATAATAAATAATATATTCTTAAAAGTAATACATTTTTAATATATGAAAAATAATATGTTTTTAGTAATATATAAAAATAAAAAGTAATATATTTTTAATAATATATATTTTTATTTATTAATTAAACGATAAATCAAAGTATGTTTCCAATTTTTAATTTGAATTTTATTTTTTAAAAATAACATGTTTTTAGTAATATAAAAATTAATATAAAAAATAAATAATATGTTTTTTAATTATATATAATAAATAATATACTCTTAAAAGTAATATATTTTTAATATATGAAAAATATTATGTTTTTAGTAATATAAAAAATTATATTTTTACTTATATACAAATAAAATAATATATTTTCAAATTATATATAAATGCTTTTTTAGTTTTATTTTTATATAATTATTTAATATATCTAATTAAACAAAAAATAAAAGTAAGTTTTCAATATTTTTATTTGAATTTTATTTTTTAAAATAATCATTACTTATAATATATATTATATATTTATGTTTTATTATTATTTGTTAATTTTATTTTTTGAAAAATTGATGCCTAGACACATGGGAATGAGAAAACTTTCCATGAACTATGGAATAACTAATCTCATGGAGATGTGTTTTGTCATTCCTATTGGAATTGTCATTCCTTTCCATGAGTAGGGGAATGATCATTCTATTCTCATGTCATTCTTTCATACCAATCATGCCATAAATTGTGAGTTGAGTCCTAGCTCATAGTATACCTGGATAACTCGTGCAATACACGGAACAATGTTAAATCATATAATTTAGTTGAACACTTTTAGTTATTAAAAAAATAAAACTCTATTTTTATTTTTTAGTATTGTATAATTTATTGGAAATACTCTTTCTTTAAAAGTATAAGGGATATTTTATAATTGTAATGATTACTACATGATCACTCAAATGAATTAATGAATAATTTTATATAAAATAATAGTTATAAAAAATTGTCGTAGGTTCTATATATAAAATAAAAATATAATTTATTTTTAAAACATTCTCTCCGTTATAATAACATACTACAAAAACATTAACCGATATGCAAAATATATTTGTTGTATAGTAATTCATAG